CCCCCCCCCCCCCCCAGAATACAGCACAGGGAGGGAGTGCGAATTCTTGAAGGCCAACCCTTATCGCCCCTCAGCTCAGTGCCAAGCACGTCCTCCAGGGACAACAGGGATGTTTTCTGTCTTATAGGCAAAGGGAGGCCCGGGCCCAGTGTGTCTGGTGTCACAGGGGACTCTTGGGGTCTACAGTGCCCAGGGTTTGACTGGACCTTGCAGAGGGCACTGCCCCAGGTCCTAGGGACCACAACACCTTGCCCAGGACGGCATGGACTCCAAGGAGCTGGCAAAGGGAAGCCTTCCTGGTGGTGGTGGCTGCCTAAAGGGCCCAGGAGGGCTGTGAAGAACACACATGACTTGCAGCCCTGTCCCTTACCTGGTGTCCCTGGAATCCAGCCTCAGCGTCTGCCCATCGGGTACTGTCCTCACCACTTGAGGAGCGGACTGTGCCTGGGGTACAGAAAAGCCTGACCTGGGGTCCCCTGGCCGGGCAGGAGCCAGGCTGGGCAGCCCAGGGTGCAGGGAGGGGCCGGCTGGGCGGCCCAGGACAGGGCGGGCAGGTGGGGTACACATGTTGGGCAGCGCATGGCCCCAGCATTCGCCTGCGGGGACCCTCCTGACAGTTCCCACCAGGCTGTCTCTCCATCCATTCCTTCACCTCCTGGAGCCCCCAAACACACGTGTGAGGGATGCTGAGACCCAAGTGTCGGGCTGTCCAGGGGCCACGGCCAGCTGGGCTGGCTGGAATTGGAGCCCCCACAGAGCATCCGGCTCCCCACAGCGGGCGGCGGTGGGGGGCTCCTGGGCACAGCATCTGCCCCCTCACCGAGTCCCCGCCAGCTCCCCGTGGCTTTCCGGAGACACAGACAGTGGACCTGGCCCCTCCCCCCAGCTAGTGAGAGATCAGACACCCCACCATCAGGACAAACCCTTTGGCTCCTTGGAACCCCACTTGGAGGGAAGGTGGCTTGGGGGGTCATGAGGTGACTGGAGGGGGCCATGGACACCCAGCTGTGGCAGGTTAAGGTGTCCTTGCCTGACATTGTCTCTTTATACCTTTCTGGGCCTTTATAGGGCTTTATAATTAGCAGGCATTGATTTATAACCAAGAAAACAAGTCTGAGAAACAAAGTGGCAAAGTCCCGATGT